CTCTCTCTCTCTCTCTCTCTCTCTCTCTCTCTCTCTCTCTCTCTCTCTCTCTCTCTCTCTCTCTCTCTCTCTCTCTCTCTCTCTCTCTCTCTCTCTCCAGTGAAAGATTAAACTCCCTCTCTCTAATCTACTCTATTTGAAACTCCTTCCCTCTCTCCCCGTCTCTCTCATCAGTTTAAGACCCCTCTCTAATCTCCTATTATGTTTGAACTCCTGTCTCTCAGCCCTATAAACTCCCTCTCATTTGGGTGCAGTTTGTATAGAGCCAAGGTTCTAAACAGTCAAAATAAAATGCGCCTTTAAATAGTGTCAAAAAACATGGTTTCAATACTTGAAATCTTTGTGACAGCCTTAAAAAATATTTTCATCTTTAATTATAAAATTTAAAGCTTTAAAAATAGTGGAGATCGAGCATATTTATGAAAACTTGAAAATCTTGAAAATTGAAGGTAAAAACATACGTTACAAGATACATTATTTCCAAAACTTGAAATCCATTTTTTTTCTCATGTCCATGCATCTTGATATCGAGATGATCATGTCCATGCATCTTGGCATCAAAACAACCTCTTCTAATACAATTTTGAGGTAGGCTCTACTTAGATTGTTTAGAGCCTCGGCTCTATATAAACTTATTCCATGTTTGAAACTCCATGTGTCTCTCACTTGATCTCTCTGATCTATGTTTAAAATCTCTCTCCCTCTCACATCTACCGAGACAAAATTTCTAATTTGCTATCCTCTTTCTTAGCAGGTAAAGATTTACCTTGGTGGTGAGTGAAAATCTAATTTGCTATTCTCTTTCTTAGCAGGTAAAGATTTACCTTGGTGGTATGTGAAAAGACTGATTCATTCGGATCGACATGAAAGTCCAACTATGCCGGATCCTCCCAATGGAGCAAACCATATACTTACTCCTTCATCCAAAAGACTGACTTAGAATGATTTTTCGCATTTGAAATTTAGGTATCCACATTTAGAATCACTTAATTAGTATTTTCAAAACAGAATTACGAGTTCTTAATTACTTAAATATGGCAGACGATATAAAATGTGTGTATTTTTTTTTTTGGAGATTGATCGACAAGTTGAAGAGATTATATCCCTAGAATTTGAAACCCTAAAAATACTCATAGATAAAAGTTTATTTTTTAGAGGAAATCGACAATAAGTTCCCTATATAGATGATATGTTTGTAGGGGAGCATGCATGCACACATACACATATACACACACATATAACTTGGTCATTTTAAGTTTTTGGAAATAATTCAATTATCTTTTATGGGAAATAATCATCTAAGTGTAGAAGAACTTGAAATTCAATAATCTTTTATTGAAAACAGTCATCTAGTGATATTTAGGGGGATTTCAAAATTTTGGATTAAAAAAAAAAAATCCCAAGTAGCTCTCACTCTCAAGGTAAATGCACAGAGTGCTTTTGCAGGCATGCTATAAGCCCTCTCTCACTAAAACTAAAAGATGTATGTGGGAAATGTACAATAGTTTCATTTACCTTTAGTACAAGAGGAGAGGTTACAATCATTTTTTCCTCTTAAATTTGGATTCGAGTGGTTGGGACTGCATGGAAATTAGGCTTAGAGTTCCTCTCAAAATTTGTGGCACACTCAAGCTATTGGATTTAGCATCTAATAGATGATTGTGATTTTTTTGTATAAAAAATAAATAGTATGCATTCCAAAAATTATTATGTACATGGGACATGGGCCATCCAATATTTTTGCGGATCAGAATTACGTCTACCCCAGGTTTCATAGACTTAGAATATTAGATGTAAAAACAACGGTTATATGGAGGCATGCCCCATATAAACTTTAACGACCAACCGTCCAACTTAGTTGACGGTAATGATTGGAAGACTACTCCAACTAAGTTGGATGGTTGGTGGCCTAACTTGGTATGCAGGAGCTTTCGATCTTTTTGAAGAAAAATATTGCGATATGGGAAAAAATATTTTCCAAAAATGTGTAAAATTTAAAAAATTTGGGGTCCATATCCAAGACCCGTATTTTCATATTTGTTATTGTGCTACTCAAGGATGTTCCCACAAAACTTGGAATACAAATTTTATCCCTAGTTTTATCTCGGGTCTGTTAGGAAAAGGAAGCTCGGGAAGCATTTCTGCACCTCAATGAAATAGGGATGTGTTTTCACATGAATGCGGCCTTTCTATGGAAAAAGTCATTCTTGGGTAATGTATTTCACACTTACAGCAAGAAGCCAAGAACCAAACATGTGTGACCTTAAATTTCAGATAAAATAGTCAGATAGAATTGGTTTTTTTTAGTTGATCAATGGGGAAGAAGTCTCCGACCAGTGTGATAAGAATATAACTCAAAACGTTATGTTGTGGCACTTGCACCCCTGAATACGTATGCCTTGAGTTTTTCCTTAGATACGAACTTTTTAATAACATTGAAAACCCAATTAGTTTGGAATGCAATTGCATTATCAGGATGTAAATTACTTTAAAAAAATATAAAAGAAACTAAAATTTATGAAAGAAATCAAATATTTTTTGTAAACTACAGCTTCGTGCAATGCCCATGCCACTAGCTAGTATTATTTAATTCTAAACTTTTATTTGCACCAGAGATTCCAAATTTTTCATCTTCATTCTCAACAAGGGAAGAAACCATTATTTACTTTTCACACAAATGAAAGATGCTAGTTCTCCAATATGAACAGAGAAAACACTACAATTTGGAAGCAGGCATTGCAAGAGCACGTTGAATGAGGTCCTTCCTAAGCAGTTTGCCTGCAGGAGTTTTGGGTATTGAATTTGTGAACACTATCCTCCGAATCCTCTTGTACGGAGCGACCTGCCCGAAAAGAAATGTGAACATCAAACATTAGAAGAAAGTAGAAAAGAGAGTGAGAATAGAGGGAACTCAACCTATCCAATAAAGGAAAGAACAAAGAAAACACAGCCAAATTTCTATTATTTTTGTGAAGAGACAGGGCATCCAATCACATAAACAATGCTATAGAAAAATCCCTGTTGAGAAGAAAGAAAATTAGGCCCACCTATACAAAAACATATGCACATCATCACAACTGGAAAGCTTGCCTATCCCCAAGTTATGAACACATACATTCAGGGATTTACATATTCATTGCATCTATGTTACAAGGACACAGAAGTGAGTGTCAGCATTTGACACAGATAGAAACAACAACATTAAATTTTGTGTTCAAGACATGACAAATCTGTGCATCATCTAGGAGTGATAGGAGGAATTTTAAGTAACATTAAAAGCTTTTATAGTTATTTCAATAGAAACAGTTTAGTAAAAGTGTCTTCAAAAATTTGAGACACAATTGTCATGTCCTTTAAGTTTCAACATGTGCTGTAACCTGTGCCCATGTTACCCAACTTACACACGCTCAAATTAACAGATACAAAGGTAGAGTGTAGTTCTTGATGAATTTTGTTCTTCTTGATCAAGAAGAACAAGAAGAAGAAGTGTAGGTAAAGCCAAAATCAATTAGCGAGTGTTAGGATTAAGAAAAATGCCTGTTGTGCTACAAAGTCCATAACTTGGGCTTCATTAAGGATACTGTGGGGCTTTCTGACCACAAACGCCATGGGTATTTACCCAGCTTCCTCGTCAGGATACCTGCCAATTCATCATCATCATCACCATCAATAAAATCCATATACATGATATGCAGCAGCACGCATAAATGTGAGGTGAACTGGTAACAATTTTCTTTATTTTCTCTATTTTTCAGGAGAGAAACTAAAAATAGCCTCCAATGTGCAAACAATATTTTAGGGAGGGAATCCTCTCTTATTTTCCAAATACAAAACGAAAAGAATCTATCAAAGGGATTGGATCCTTAGCAAGGGAGTTCTAACTTCTACACAGTTTTCTGAAAGGAAGATTGAAAATATAAACAGGCGCATGAAAGTACTGCCAGAAAAGAAATTATTAAATATAAAAATTTACAAAACACCAGATTTAATATTTCCTAACTCTTCCAGGGTATGCACTGTCCTTGCCTCTGTTAACATAGTAGCTAAGTGATCCCAACATGTCACATAAGGAAGGTATTGTATAGATGTTCAATTTTGTGCAATTATTTCCATCCCTCTATCTAATTAACCTAATAGGGTTCACAATAAATAATGTCGTCACCATCTAGAGCAACTACAAGGAACACCATATATTGCTAGATGGTGAGGACCCATATTGACTAAATTATGGGTGTCAATGCATATTACAATACAAGGAGGACTTCATGTAAATAAGTTTACCTGATTCTGACTGAGACTATCAGTCATTTAAGGGTCAGATTCTCTCTCTAATGGGTGTCAATGCATATTACAATACAACAATACAAGGAGGATTTCATGCATGTAAGTTCACCCGATTCTGACCGAGACTATCAGTCATTAAGGATCAGATTCTTTCTCTAATGATAAAAGAAGTATCAAATGTCTTTGATTTGATTCCAAGTACCAGAACAGAATGCGTCACTAATTCGATAAGATCAGCTCTGACATTTATCTGGAAGAAACGCTACAAGTGGGATGTGAGAGATTCACTTGTCCCACACTTCTTCCAATATGGAGGATTTCATACATTTTCTGGATTTTGCACATCTATGAAAGCATACAATGTTCCATATATTTTGTACACAAATATGATGTATTTCCTTTTAGTGGGAAGTATTATAAAGTAAACAGTACAAAATTATGAATATTTCAAGGGACTCTTATTTCAAGGGGCTTTTATATACGGCAAATAAGGAAATCGATATTGAGACTGGGGGAGTTCGGAGCATTTTAAAACAATAATAGTACTAATTTCATTTTATAGGTAATTAGTGAGATGCTAGATTTATTTTAAAAATTTTAACAAAGATTTGTATCCCAACCGTTTCAAAAAAATTACTATCTAAGCCAACCTCTTTCCTATAATTACAACCTTGTTATTCAAAGGTTAGAACATGGGGAAATATCTTCTATTCATTATAAATATGGTTTTAGACTGTTTGCACTTACCAACAAATGGTGTATGAATAGATGCCCCATCCATTTTTTTTGACAGTAGAACCACTTATCTCCCCTGCCCATTGATAACTACAGACGGTTGATGGTTGATCAAAACACCATACATTCTACTCACAGTGCGCATTCTATATGGTTCCTAGAAACTTTTCGATGAATACAAAATGAGGAATACAGTATAAATTTTCCCTCTCAAATCAGAGTCTGCACTTTTTTGCAAATTTTGTATGTTTATGAGACTAGAGAGGTAATTAGTTTCTTTTACGGAAGAAGAATGGGGGAAAGGAATTGGATTGGATTTAAGAGGAATTTGCTTTTACACAATCAGTTTTGCAAGATACTACTGTAAATGTTGCATACAGGTTAGGTTGCCTTCATTGTGACCCTTTCTCTTAAAGGGCAAAACAAGCACGCCTAGGAGGAGAGGACAGAGAAAGGGAAATTCAAGCACTTACGGAACTACAGCAGCATCCGCAATTTCCAGGTGAGAAAGTAGTATGCCTTCCAAGTCTGCAGGGGCAACCTGTATGCATGGATTCAAGACGGCATCATATGAGATAGAGAGAGAGAGAGAGCATCTAATAAGTATTATTACTTGGTACGCTTTGTATTTGATCAATTCCTTTAACCTGTCAACTACGAAGAGGTAGCCTTCGTTGTCTATATAACAGAGATCTCCTGTCTTTAGCCATCCCTCTGAATCCAATATAGAAGTGGTTGCTTCTTCATTCCCTATGTAACCTGCATTATATGATTCTTATCATGGTCCAAACCTATGATGTACCAATACTGTTTTCTTGGCTACATCAATGCACCAATATTGGATAAAGGGTTTCCTCATTGCCTTCGAGAACAGGTCTAAAATCATACAGAAAATGATGTCATATCCAATATGTATGCCTGCATATATTTTAATGTTGTGGCTAACATACTGCAATCGCAGCTCACTGACCAAACTATGGAGTGCACAAGTCTTCAGTTTAAAAATTTATTGTCTTAAGAGGAAATTTGGGGGTACAAGGAAATTTGGAGGGGTCCCATGAAAATTGGATAGAATATGCAATAAAATTTTGAAAAAAAACATATTAGAGGTAAGGCAGAATTTGAAATATAATTTTGGCTTGGATTGAGCAGTTAGGGACTAAACTAGCAAGCTAAATGAATTTCATAAAGTAGTTATTACGAAAAGAATGCATTACAATTTGCTATAGGTGATCTTAGACACGTCAATCTACAGTTTTGTCAAAATTGAGCTGAGTGAAAACAAAATAAATGGGATATGAGCACTTTGAATGCAAACCATCTAGAATCAGCTGAAATCAACCAAAGTTGAATCACTCAAATTTAAGCTAAAATTGGTCCTTGAACTCGGTCTAAATCACTCAAAGTTCAAAAAGACAGCTGAATTTGAAGGATATAAGGTCTAAATAACCACAATTGCCTGAATGTCTTTTGAAACCTCATCATGAATTCAGCAAACATCCCTTAAATACCACATTTTGGTGCTTCACTCAAGCCAACAATCCCATGTAGATCAAGAACAAAGATCGGAATTCCACCAATTTTAGTTCAAATTCAGCTAAATTCCAAATCATGGTCGCAGGAACCAAAAAGGAGAGAGATGATTACCTTTCATGATAGTGGGTCCTCTGACCCATAGCTCTCCTTTGTGACATGGAGGTAAGGGTTGCAGTGTGTTCGGGTCTACAATCCTCACTTCAAAGCCTCCTGATAGTCGACCAGATGACCCATATCGCAGGCATTCTTCGGGAGTCAAGGTTCGATATATTCCTCCACTGGTCTCTGTCAGTCCATATCTCTACGAAAACGACTTAGTGTTTTTTGTTCTTTTTTCTTGTCACAACTCATATCCCGACCAGAACAACAACGGCTAGTTTCGCTTTTCTTTTTTTGAATGTGTAAGGTGGGCTTTGAACCTGGAATGTGCTGTACTTGTATACTTATTTTTTTTCTTCCCAAAACCCATATCCCCAAAAAAACAATAACTGCTAGTTTCTCAATTCTCTTTTTGAATGTGTGAGCTGGGCTTTGAGACCTGAATCTGTTTGCATTTTTTCAGAGGTATATTAAAAAGTGGGTTGCCAAAATAATCCATATAAAAAATAAATTGAAAACATTGGGGGATTTTTAAGAAATAAGATATATCTCACTTGTTTTTTAAACAACAATATACCCCACTAATACTTACTAATATTTGGGTTCTTCAACACAAATCTTGCAATATTAGAAAATGAATCACCTTCATAATTTTAATATGGGAGATCAAAATCAATCTTGGCCATTAGCTGTAAAATCGAGCACGATATCACATTGACAATACTTAAAACGTCAATTGAGAACGTTTTGATCACAGAGACACACCACATACTATTAGATTTTACATATGACGGTTATGGTTGATTGTGTGGTCTTGTGCTCAAGGTAAATAGTCTTAAACAATACAATTTGAAATTATAAACACCTAATAAACATAAAAACCACTAATATTTGATTTGTCCACAGAGATCAGTGAGACCCGGGGATTTCAGATAGATCCATATGGAAGAACTATGACAGTAACATCCACAAATGACCTAAGCGCCCTTGCCAAGTATAAAGTGTCTAATTACTTGATGGCCTCACCCTAGAGTTGGTCCCTACCTCTACCTACTTCTGTCTCTCTTATTGCGCCTGGGGTGAGGTTCAATCCTACATCCTTCCTTAGTCCCTATATGTCAGTGGATCAACTAGTATGTATTCACTCTACGGATGGTAATTTCTCAGTCAGGAGTGCATGAAATCAGATCTGCAAATGGGCCCGTACAACCTATCTTTAAAACTCTCTAGTCTGCACCAACTCATCCCAGAGTAAAATGGTTCACATGGCTTTCCCTTAATGCCAGATGGCCCTAGGTCTACTTGCCCCCTATCACTCTAAGTGAAGGAAACTTCTAACCACACTATTATGCAATGGTCCTTTTTGGCAATACTCTGGAGGTCTATCCTTTAAAGATTTGGCAAAACTATATTACTCAAGCAGTCCACAGCTGACATTTTTGCCAAATGGGTCAAGTTTCGGTACAGATTGGCAGGCCTAAGAAATGTGTATGTTCTGTACTACAACATGGTTCATCTAGACTGAACGACATGCCATGTCTTCAAAGGGAAGAAACCAGAAGAGAACAGTTGTTGCATTGCATCTCCTCTTTTGTTGTGGGTCTAACAAATGTGAAAGAATGGACCTTTCACACATCAGAAAGGCATAAACTGAATCTAAAAACCAATGGTGACTGATGAAGCCCAAAGCCTCCATTCTAATTTCGCGATCTCCTGCCCCAGTGTATCACTATAAATACAATATTGATTGCTCGTCCCTTGGCAACCTTGGAGTAACTGGCTGTGACGGTACTATCAAGAATGACATGGGGGGTTCCTTGCTGCTTTTCCTGATCCTTTGGGCCGTACAACCAATAATGTTGCTGAATTTTCAGCTCTCTAGAGAAGTATCCAGCTGGCTATAGAGATGTAATGCTTCCCCTTTGGTATCAAAGTGGCTCACAGATCCTCATGAACTCCATTTTGGGTCAACATAAACCTCTTTGGAGTCTTCGTAACTTTGCATCCAATTGCTCTTACCATCGTGCGAGTCATTCCGGGAGAATCTCACACATACATCACCAGGCAAACATAGTGGCAGATTACTTGGCCAAAATCCAGATTTTTTATCCTCTCATTTCTTCTAGTATGGCTGGGATAAATATGAAAGAATCGTAACATAAAGCTTTGTACTTCCATTTCCTTATTACTAATGAAAAAGGGCCATGACCCAAATCCCACTGATTTACCCTCCCAAAAAAACGATTAAGCCTTATGAGAAAAACTAATGCTTCGCCTCAAAACTTACAAAAAAAATTCTACTTTCAGTGTCAAAAAAACTTCAAATAAATCATCATGACCTTCACTATTACAGTTGTTAAAAAAAATAAAATTTCAAGTCCTAAAAATAATGTATCTTGTAACACATCATCTAGACCATCTATTTCTAAATTTTCACAAATTTGCAAGATCTGTACCATTTTTTGAGCTACAAATTTTATAATCGATGATGGAAATAGATTTTAAAGCCATCAAAAAGATTTCTTATGCCTGAAGTGTTTTTCAGATAAGGCTTTGAGGTGAATCTCTACTTTATGTTTTATAAGGCCTGGGCCTCTATGAAATCAAAATAAAGCCTTATCTCGAATCCTCATTCGGATTGCACTTTCGATTTTATAAGGCCCGGGCCTCTAAGAAATCAAAGTAAAGCCTCATCTCGAATCCTCATTCAGAGAGCATTTTGGGCATCGAAAATCTCCATGATGGCTCTAAAATCAATTTCCAACACCGACTATGAAATTTGAAGCTTAAAAAAATATAGATCTTACGGATCCATGAATACTTATTTTTAGGGTGAAATGGACGATCTAAATAATGTGTAATATACACTATTTTTAGAGCTTGAAATCCGAAATTTTTTTCACAACTATAATGTTCAAGGCCGAGATGATCAATTTGAAGGTTTTCAAACGTCACAAGTGCAATTTTCGGTTAGTTTTAGGGTGAGGCTTTACTTACTTTGATAGGGCTGCAGCCTTATAAAACCATTTTGAATATTTAAAAAAGCAATAAGTTAGGGAAAACGAAGAAAATGACCTTCACAAGTTTACGAGTTTATCAAAATACATATAGGACATCAACTATTAGTATTTTACCCATATTTTTGGGATTTAATTTCAAAATACACATGACTATGAGTTGGAGTTGGAATAATTGAAAAGGATAAATTGTTAAAAAGTTAGGTGTATTTTGATAATTTTTTCTAAAAGATAAAAAATGATATCCTATAGCACAAGAAAGAATAAAATTATTTATCTATTTTATAAGAAAGCCACAATTGTTTTTAGCCTTTGGATGTAAAATCTAGTAGTTAGTAACGCACCACTGATACACAAAACAGTGAAAAAAAATTCTGGGACCTTATAACACATCCGTGGCCACCAAATTTCACATCATCATGACGTACGAAAAGAAAAAAGTCCAATATATACAAGGGATTGTCTACAAAGAGACCATTTATTTTTTGGGGATTGTCTACAAAGAGACCATTTATCTTTTGTACATGAAGGTCACAATCATTGTTCTCTTAAATTTCAAAATAGGTGGTTGTAAGAGTGTCATTGAATAAACACAAAGTTCGAAAAAAGAAATTCTCGGACTTTGTGATTCACCCCAAGCCATTCAAGACATCTAATAAATGGAAATGATTGTGACCTCCATGTACAAAAAAATAGGGATTGTCTACAAAGAGACCAATTATCTTTTGTACATGGAGGTCACAATCATTCACACTCATTAAATGTCAAATGGGATGGCTTCGGGTGAGTCACGAAGTCTAAGATTTTTGTTTTTTGTAACTTTGTGACTATTCAATGACACTCTTACAACCACTCATTTTGAAATTTAAGGGACAAAAATGATTGTGACCTTCATATACAAAAGATAAATGGTCTCTTTGTAAAATATCCAAAAAAGATGCCCTTTTGGATAACTTGTAGCTCTTTTTTTGCTGATCCACGTGACCATGGAAAGCCTATTATCAGTTGATAACAAGTTGTCCTGGATAGACCCAGACTTGACTCATCCCTGGCTGACCCAAGTAACTCAAAAGAAGTTTGAGTGGACTCAGCCCAGTAACTTACTGGCTAAAAATGCTCCAAAATTTTTTAAAAAGAAATTAAAAAATAATGTTAAATATTAAAATTAAAACTTTAAAAGTGAAACAAATAAAAAAAACTCAAAGAATCTAAATAAGGAAAACGGATTTAGATAAAATTGACTTATAGTTAGACATATTCCAAAAGAAAATACAAAAATATGACGATAAAAATTCACAAAGGCATGTTAAACACATCCAAATTGCATATATAACTTTTATACATTGATCCTGCAAGTTTACAAATATTTTATTTTTTATCTTTTTAGTACATCCAAGTGGTACTGGGATACTTGGCTCGGCCAGGGGCCGAGTCTGGGCAAGTCAGCCTAGCACTTCTTCAATGGTCTATCCAATAGTTTCATACATGATTATAGGCTTATAGGTTTCCATAGTCACATATATCATAATACAATATCTCAAACACAAGACTGTCAACTATGATCCGCAATTCCCCATGTTGTCATGGGCAGAACATGATATAAGATCATTATCGTACCATCGCTGGGTGAACAGCAGCGATTGTAACTGCAGTGTCTATCCCTGCACTAGGGTTGTCTTTAATTTATTTTTATAATTAACTTGCAACTACTCCAATAGGGTTCCCTTAGAAAAATATATCTAGATAAAATATTATTTATCTTTTATACAAGGAAATCACAACTATTCTCATTCAAATTAGATGGCTTGGGTGAGTCACGAAGTTTGAGAAATTATTTTTTGAACTTTGTGTCTAATTAGTGACACTTTTACAACCGCACATTTTGATATCTAAATGACAAAAATGATTATGGCCTCCTTGTATAAAAAAATAAATGGTCATTTTGCAACCAATCTCAAACTATAGTACCCTTATAATTTAAGGGGAGATTATTTATTTTTGATACAAGAAAGTCACAATCACTCTTGTCTTTCAAATTTGAAATTTAATGGTTGTAAAAGTGTTATTGACTAAACTCAATGTTAAAAGACAAAAGAATTCTAAAACTTTGTGATGCACTCCAAACCATCCAACTTAATATCTATTGGCCAAGAATAACTGTGACCTCCTTATCACAAAGACGAATAGTCCTATGGAGCACGGTTTTTATTTTAGATGAAACATTTTGTTTCATATTTTTAAGATGTGTACTTGTGAAAATAGGGTACGTCCCTCTCTACTTGAGTCAATATGATTTGTAGAAAAAAGCAGTCCATATGATTTGTAGAAAAAAGCAAAAATAAAACTAAATTCAGAGGCGGGGCATTCTAAATTAAGCATCTTGACCACCCATTGAGATTGACAACAAAGAGAAGATTCGTGTGTATAACTAGGGCCGGCAAGATGTGCGGGCCTAGGCCCAGCTACCTTGATCTGGGTCCTCTAGGACAGGCCCTAACCCAACCCAGATTGGACCGGGCCAAGCTAGCCGTAGTCAAAATAAATAAAAATACTAGTTGGGTCTGGCTAGTCTTAAGACTATGGTGCCTAGGCCCTAGCCAGGTCCTCGGGCCATATTTTGTAGCCCAGACCCCACCTTTCTAGGGTCACCGACCAAGCAGGCTACCAGGCCCATTACCAGCCTTGCCCATTTAAAAATGGATGGGTTTCTATGAGTCGGCCGACTTGTATGTACATATGCCGCCCCCCACTAAAATTCACTTTAAATGATATTTTTTTTTTTTTAATTTCATTATCTAGGTCAAGATGATCATAAATATGCCAAAAATAAACTTTTAAAATTAAAAATATATATTTTAATATTTTTTATGCACCATCTATATCTAATGGACAATAATACTTTTGCGAAAACGTCCATCCTAAGGATGGACGGTTGTAAGTCAGCGGCCTCTTGCGGCCTGACTCATGAAACAATTTTCCTATAAAAATTCGACTAAAATATTACACCGATATTGAGCCACTATTACCTGGACAACCCTGAGCCATGGAAACCTCGCTCTGAACCTCCCGATCACCTCCTTCCCAAGGCCGCTGCCCACCACCTCCAAACTCCCCAAGTCAAAACCCACGGCCTCGTCTCCTCTACCAATTGCCGCCAAAACGGGCGGCGCCGCCGCCAAATGAGTGACCCTCCACTCCTCCACCGCCCGGCACACAAACCTCACCTCAAACGTCCCCTCCCCCATCAGAACCACCGTCTCCCCAAACGCCAACCCCTTCAAGCAAGCGGTAAAACCGAAGACGTGAAATATCGGCACCGTTATGAACAAGCACGTCCGCTTCTCGACCCTCGCCGCCCAGAGCTCCGCCAGTACCGCAGTGTAATTTCTGTGTGTCAAAATGACGCCCTTGACTCCACCTGTTGTACCCGAGGAGTAGAGGATCGTTGCAGGATCATCTGGTTCGATTGTGACCCTTTTTGGGCTCGATCTCGGCGATTCAATGAGTCGGTGGAACTTGTGCGAATCGATCAAGATGACTCGGTTTTGGGCTGGGATTTTGTGAGCTGTTGAGGAGTGAGAAAAAATGAGGACTGGTTTAGAGATTTGGATTTGGTGCTCTATCTCAGACTTGGTGCTTACTGGGTTGGAAGGGGAGATAATGGCTCCTAGAGAGAGAAAGGAGAGATATATTATTGGGACATAGATTGAAGGAGGAGAGAGAATGAGGACGACATCGTCTTTTTGAATGGCAAACTCGGATTGAAGAGAGAAAGAGATGGAGGAGACCAGTGATCGGAGATCGCCATACGAGAGGTGGGATTTGGCGGAGGCGTCGACAAGGGCGGGGGAGGAGAGAGGGGGGTTGGGGATGAGAGAGAAAATGTATGATGTGAGGCCGAGAGGAGGGAGATTGGGCGTGGGGCGGAGGCTGTAGAATGTGTTGTTGTCTCTGCAGAAGCCGCTTTTTGGGTCCATGGATGAAGGGGGAGGACCCTCTCTCTCTCTACGATCTAATCTACTACCGTCTCCCTCTCTCTAATCTACTACTGTCTCCCGTCTCTCATTTGAGATCTCTCTCTAATCTGTGTTTAAAACTCCCTCTCTCATCCATGTTTAAACACACACTCTCTCTCTCTCTCCTGGTTCCTTGATGAAAGATTAATGGAAGTGAAGTCCAATAACTCTTATTGGGAAGTGTTTCCGTATGACACCAGCAAACCCCACTTCTTAGCTGGTCGATCTGAATCGAACAATTGTTTACACCACAGAGTCAAATATTACACCACAATGACTCAAATATTTTTTATTTTTTATTTTTCTACAATATATTTTTGGATGAAATTGTCGGCATCCCACTATAAAATTAAGAAAAAATTTCTTACATACCCATAATTCTCATATTATTAAATTTGTATAAAAAAACCCTCAAGCATTTCAATGTACCTTCATATCTCTTTTTTTCTACATTTATTTATTTTTGGCCATAAAAATTAGCCTTAACAAATTGTTTTATTCCTTCTCATTTATTTCCAACAGAGTTAAAAAAGTTTTTGAATTGAGATGAAATAAAACAATTTGTTGGGGGTAGTTTTTGTAGTCAAAAGTGAATTACCGTTGGAGAGAAGAGATGAAGGGGTACGGTAAAATACTTGAGAAGGGTTTCTTATGCTGCTTGAAAAAAATAATAAAAAGAGGGTATATCATGAAATAAGATAGAATTAGGGGTTTATACCATATTTTCCCTAAAATTAAAACGAACATGGAAAAAATTAAAAACAAATATTTTTTATAAAAATAAATGACCACGATGCCCATACTATTTTTAGAGGTGTTTTGGTAATTTTTTATCATTGGAAATATTTTATTATTGTTTTTATCATGTGCGCCTATATCATATCTATGCATCCCTAAATTTTGCTTCAAAATTATTTGTAGAACAAAAATAAAAAACTATGAGCCCCAAATTTTGTAAAATTATTTGTAGAATAAAATTAAAAAACAAAAAACTATGAGTTGTGTGATCGATATCTAACGATTAAATACTAAGTTGTGACATTTTGTCTTAAGCCATATCAACCACCTACCTAGATCTGATGGTTGAGACCCGGTTAAGTGCTAGGTTGTGACATTGTGACTTAAGCCATATCAACCACCTACTCGGATCGGATGGTCGAGACCCAGGGTCACGTATGGTTGGGTCGCATAAAAAGCCCTCGATCTTTGTTTACTCTTAAAATAAACTCTTGGAGTTTTCTCTTAGGGATCTTTTTTTTAGAAAGATTCGAAACTGAAAGTCATGTGCTGATTGAGGAGGAAGGATACTTCAGTTTTGTTGCTTTCTATGTTTAGGCCTGATGGGTTTAATTTGGGTATATGCAACTTTTGCCCTAATCTTTTGGTGGATTTGAAAGAGTGCCTTTTCTTATTTGTTTCTATGATAGAGTGCAAGCCTTTTATACTATCTTTTGCTTTGTATATTCATTTTTGGATCCTTTCATACTATCTTTTGCTTTGCATATTCACTTTTGGACCACTTTACATGTTTTTCATCTCTTATTTCTACAATTTTTTGCCCACTTGGCCGATAACCCTGTCGATTATATTTTTTATTTAAAAAATTAAAGGTTGGCACTTTAAAATATAGAATTTAGGTACACCTCTATGGTTGTTTGATATTAGGAAACTATCTAATTCAACATCTCGACATCAAGACATATAGATATGAACAAAAAAAATAAATTTCAAGTCATAAAAATAATACATCTTAAAACAAATTAATTGGACCATATATTCTTAGGGTTTTGATGCATTTATAGATTTGCTTGATTTGAACAATTAGCTATAAAATAAATTCTCACACCATCATAAATATTTTCAACACCAAAATTGCATCTCATGACAAAGTTTGTGGTTGCACCTTAATTTGATTGTTTAATGTCTCAACCTTATACAAACCACACCTTTTTTATTCTCCCCCTGTAGAAAAGGATTGTCATACTGGCCCTAGTCAATTTACCGTTGGATTACAAAATGTTGTGTACTATAAGACTAGTTATTTTTAATAAGGATTGTATACAATGAACTATTTACCTTTGATACAAGAAGTTCACAATTATTTATAGCCATCCGATGTGAAATCTGATAACTTAGGTGTGTCATAAAGTACGAGATTTTTTTTTTTTTAAGTTTGAGCTTGGTCAATGGAATAAATGCAATCGAATTTCACATCCAATAATCAAAATTAATTGTGACCACTTTGTACCACAAATAAATGGTATTTCATTACACTTGGTTATTCTTTGTCTTCTTTGTATTATTCTGACGATTTAATTCCTTATGCTACTCAGTCTCTAACAACAAAAGTTATTTGATCTTGTCAAAAAGAAACAAAAAAAGAAAAAAGAAAAAGAGGAGGGAGGTCACAAATCGTTAACAATATTAAGTCTTTAATGCTAGTAAACAAATTGTATGACGCTACAAGAGGATGGTATGCAGGTACACTTTAGGGCAACATAATAGTGAAAAGCGATAACCATGTGGCGCCCTCCCAAGGGGGCAAACTATACACTCTCTTAGTTATTAGGACTTTTGCCATTTGAAATTTAGGGAACCAAATCACCAGGCTAGTGTTTTAAAACAAAATGAATCTTTTAATCATTTAAATTAGAGGTAGCAAGATCCGACCGGACCCGAGACCCGATGGATAGACCCAACCTCGTATCTGGGTATGGTTCCAAATTTTGGATCTGAAAGGTCAGGGCTAGGCCAAAACCGGACCCAAATAATACGGGTAATATGTAGGTATTCATAAATGTTGCCAATACATTTGTTTCTTATGAATTTCTAGTTATTGCGTAAAACAGTAAGGAATGTAGGTATATGTACTATGTGGGTATTCATAAATGTGGTACAATAATATAAATGTTGCCAATAATATGGGTATATGATGGTAAAAAAAAAAGACAAAAAAGAAGCTCACAATCATAAGGTCGCGATTGACCCAACCAAACCCGGGACCCAACATGTAGATCTGACCTCGGTTTCCGATATGGGTCCAAATTTTGGACCTGAAAGGTGTTGCCTCCCCTAGTTTAAATATGATTGCTTGTTTTTTGCTTTTTATTTTTTTTGAGGTGATAAAAATACGTGATTTTTTATTTTATTTTTTTTGGAGATGGATCGCCAAGTTGAAGAGATTATATCCCTCTAATTTGAGACCCTAAAAATATCAAGTCTATTTGAGAGAGTGAATTCCCGATAAGCTCCCGTATGGATGATATGTTTGCATTTGAACACAAATATAAAATTTGGTCATTTAAACTTTCTATATAGGTGTGGGAAAAGCATATGATAATGTTATTTACTTTAATTGCAAGGGGTTACAATCCGGCTTTTGTTGTTTTTTTGGAAGAATTTCATATAGAATCTTAATATTTCATATTATTTCATGTTAGACTTTTTTTTAGTTTTTCTTTCAAAAAAACCCTTCCATTTTTTATTCACTTTTTATCATAAAAATTAACATCAACAAATCTTTTTATACCATTTTAACTCAAAAACGTTTTAAATGGGTAAAATGGGGAAAAGATGGTTAAAAAAGTTTGAGTTAAAATTGTATAAAAAAATTTGTTAGGGATAATTTTTATGGTTAAAAATCAATAAAAGAGTGAGATAAGAGAAAGAATGGGTAGGTGAAATCTTTAGAGTTTTCTTATGCCGTTTGAAAAAAAAATAGAATGATGATCTATCATGAAATAATATGATGAATTAAGGTTCTATACGAATTTTTTTTTTTTTTTTCTTTGTGTAATTAAAGGGTTTTGAACTTTTATCGTTTTGTGAGAATGGAATCAAATACCTCATCATCGAACTTGGCAATATACTGCCAAAGCCTCAAGTTATTTTCGAAATGACTTTCTTGACACAACCCATTGATAAGATGGGGTTCTCTTTTATTGGTAAGTATTTTATTATCACAAATTTGAATTATTAATTCTCATTATGTGGCATGATGCGGTGAAGTTGGCGATGGTGGATAGTGGTGGTACAATGCAACAGTGGTGGTGGTGGTTGGAGATCATGTAGGCCGGTAGTTGTAGATCAAGCAATGCGGTAGTGATAGTATAGCGATGGTGGTAGTGGAGCAGCGGTGGTGGTTACGGCGAGGCACTAGAAGGGTGGTAGTGGTGGTGGTATAGTGATGGTGATGATTAGGCGGCAATAGTGGTAGTGGTAGTGATAGTGATGGCAGCAGTGGTGGTGCAATAATGGCAACTAGGTAGCAAAGGTGGTGGAGGAATAATGGTGGCTAGGCTGTGGTGCTGGAGGAATAGTGCCGGCAATGGTGATGGGAACGGTTCCTAAAAAGGATTATACACGTGGGCAGAAGGAGGCTACACCCGTTGTTAACATTCATATAAATTACTTGGGTGTGTCAAATCAATTTTTACAAAAAAAAAAAAAAGCTCTATGAAATTGAAATTTAGACAATGGTACATTCCCAAACCGTGCGGTCTCATATCCAAGGGCCAAGAATAATATTTATTATTTTCATTTTAAAAAAACATACAAGTAAACTTGTATAATTGTTCTCACCGGTGGAAAAGTATTCCATGTGGTAGGGGACATTAGGTCCCTTGACGCATCACACATCCATATCAAATATGGATATGGATGTATGGTAATGTTGGTCCCACTTATATAAGTGGACGGTCCTAAAAATATATCAACAAAAATATTTGTATTTTTAAAAATTATTTTATTATTTAATTTATATTCACCATGACAGAAATTATCAATCCCTAAAATTTTGGATCCAAACTCCATCTCTAATATTTTCATGAGTCGGCCGACACATGAAAACCTTGTCCCTCACTATTCTCACTACTTTAAGGGGGCATGGTTTCTATGTGTCCTATGACTAATGCAGCCCCCCTTAATAATTTATTTTGAAATAAAATTTGATTTTAATTTTTAAGGAATATATAATCACTAACATAGAAATCATTAATGTGTACAAATAAAAAAAATACAACTAAAAATGATAAATTTTTAAAATAAATATTTTAACAGTTGATTTTTTTATTTTTTAAGGGATCACAAAAATGGCAGCTTTTTCCCTAGTTTTTGTCTACATTTTTTGACAGTGATGGCTCTCATAGATTGCTTTAATTCTATCCTGGAAAAGTTATTCCCGGTTTATCACTACGATGGATGTAAAAAAACGACGGGGCTAAAATAAGTTTAGAACTTTAGACGGTCTAAAATTCTTTTTAAAAAA